AGACAGTTAAAATATTTTTCTAAGTTATTCCTCGAGTATACACTTATATTTTCACTTAATTAACCTGCTTATAACTTCTAAACAGCTGAAGGTAAAAAAGTGCAATTTTTTCTAAAATGTTTTATTTTTCCACAAGGTATGTCAAGAACATTGTGTCAAACGGGTTATGTAGGTATAAGGGTTTAAACTTTGACTTTTAAACAACGTTACGTTCATAAATAATAATTTTAATATAAAAACTACTTCTTACCTACAAATCCAAATCAGAATCGAAATCAGAAGATGAACTGTCGCAACCAATATTTACAATGAGTGGCTCGATCATTTCATCAGTAATATTGTCCAACTTCCACATTTTCTCTTCTTTAATCGTATGATTTACTGCCTTTTCCCAGTTTTCAGGATTCACATTATTTACAGCCTCCAAAAACAACTGTTTAACATCACTCATTTTAAAAGAATTATTTTTTCTTGAAACTTCTCCCTTTATCTGTGCCCATTTCAGTTCAATCGGGTTTACTTCGCAATGATATGGTAATGATCTAACCACCGTCATCCCACGATTTTTTGCAATTTCATCAATTTCATATTTTTTGAATTTTCTTTATGAAGGGAACACAAATGATACAGTTCTTTTCTCACAGAACCGGGATGGAACTTAATATTCTTTGAATTTAGCCAATTCTGTAAATCTTTTTTTAACCACTTGGTTGTGGGCATTTTTTCTATAAGTCTCGAGTGATAACTTGCATTATCCATTACTATTATACAGTTCTGAGAAAGAAGATCTATAATTTGTTCGAACCACTCTTTAAAGACATCAGCATGCATGTCCTCATGGTAGTCACCGGTACCAGTAGATTCAAAAGTCAATAAACCACCTTTAACAAAACCGTTTGAACTACCGATGTGTACTATTATTAGTCTGCGCCCATTTCCTGATGGTGGATTTAAACAAGTAGACAAATTATTAGAAAAGCCTGTCTTCGACTTGTAACAGTTTCATCTTGCCAAAATTTATTTGGTTTATGTCCCTCGTTGATCCATGTTTCATCTAAATTAAATATATTTCTTCTTTGGTTTCTCATTTCTTTTATAGTCCTTAGGTAATTTCTTTTCCATACTACAATATCGCTTCTTTCTATTAAAATAGACTTTCTGGAATGCCTTTTCCATAGAAAATCTATTTCTTTTAAAAGTTTCCATAGTGTGCTTCGACTCATTTCAGGGTAATCCTTATCATCTCGAACCGTGGCAAGAACTTTGTCTACTGTCGGAAATTCTTTTCTAAAGAAGAACGCATGCACTTTCCTTCGAAGTCTTTCTTTCAAAAGATTTTCTATTTGAAATTTTGGTTTTCCTGGAGCTTTACGTGCTGTTTGAAACTCGCCACATTTCTCTTCTTTAACAACTCTGTAAATCGTAGATTTCCCAACACCAAGCGTACTACTAACTAATTCCACTGTGTCATCAACACTTTTACATAAATGTTTGTCTGTAAATGATTTAAAACAATTAAATATTAATGTTTTTTCATTAACTGTTAAAGGACCGATTTTTTGTCGTTTACGCGGCCCTTCCAAATTTTCCATGATCACACTAGAATTCACACTGCACCTTGCAAGTTGCAACTAAACGACATTTAGTAAACTGTCAAGAATACACAACTTGGACCTCCTTACTAAATGGAAAACCTATAATCACATTTTCGGTGAAATTTGTTGGGAAGGTATTTATCTACTTATAATTCGATTAATGTAAGAAATTCTTGGAATTAAAATAAAACAAAATTGTCAAATAGGTACTTATTGAAAATAATCTTAAGATACGGCTATGTAATCTTTAATATACAGGGATTTTGGCCTGTCCAAACCTTTTTCTATTGTTCTGTACAGCTTATGTTTATAAAGGACCAATAAAAGACCCAAAACTTGTAATAACTCAGGTACATTTATTACAATTTTAGGAAATATTTAGATTATTCTGTAAAAATATTTAAAATGACCGTACTAAGTTTTGCATTAGAAATGCTGTTTTATTATCTCATACATAAAAATAGACTATAGTGCCCGATCATACACTGACTTATCTATACATACAATAGCTTGAAATATATCAGGATTTTTTTTTAGTTGGAAATATTTTTACAATTTTATCTTTTAGAAATAATGTTTGTGTTACATGTAATAAGATAATTATAAAGATCTTCTGTTAAGTAGTTAACGGTCATGCCAACGATACATATTTTTTGAAGAATACCAACGATTTTTCTGATACTGTATCCGCTTGATATTTTCTCTTGAACAATAGTCTTCAACTTTTCATTATCTGATTTGGTTTGGTTTTGCAGGCAATCAAGATTCCTCCATCTTTAACCGTTTTAACTTTTGTAAGCTGCAGGTTATCTTCACAGGGATTGACATGACATAGAATATCCACCTTAGTTTGATTATGCGGCTGACTGGTGTTCTTTGGATGAATTAAGATGATTGGATGCGACTTATCTTTTAGAACATCGGAGTATTTTAGTTGAGATGCGGCTGTTTCAGATTCAGAAATTTTGATAACATTTGATTGCACCGAGTTTATTTGTTTTTTCACTGAAGCTAAATCATCGCACAATTCATTTTCAATAATATTTTGCACGCCAGTAGGGTTGAGCAAAATACAGTTTTTAACGCAGTCGGAGCATTTCCAGGACAGCCTTGGTATTGCAATTAATAACTGTACGATATCTGCCGTTTTTGTAACACAGATAGCATGGTTATCTTATTTGCAACCATCGCAAGCGATACCGGGCCGACCTCTGCTGATAGCACGGGGCACTTCTGAGAATTTTGAAATTTTTACAAAGATTGCCTGTCTAATAATAATAAGAAGGGGCTCAAGAAGTACATTCATTGTACCATTGGAGCTACTTTTAGATCTTCCTTCGGTACAACTTGTGGTGAACAAAAATCTATGGCGTCACCATCATGCATGTTTTTTATTTAATATTAATAATTCACCCCCTTACGAGTGAATTTTATCCCAAAAGCTGAGCTTGTCCGGGAAAGAGAGGTCTTATTAATAAAATTTTCCGTGGCGCTCTGGTGCGACTTAAAGATGATTGATGGTACCATTTGACTTACAGGTGAAGAAAACCTGGAGAAACCCACCCAAAATCATCAAAAAGGTAACGTGATTTATAATCTGGATGCCGTAACAATAGAAATTAAATTGTTGCTAATACAGCATCTATCAAATCCTATAATTAGCCATGCAAATTATTTAAAAATTTACATGCTGTAGGATTCGAAGCTGCATTGATTTTTAAACACAAAATTGCTTGCAATACAACTACGTCACCGAGACGATACTACGCCACTGAGACGATGGGAACGTTCAAGAAAAGGACACTATACAATATTAGGCATTCCAACGAGCTGTCCAAATGGCTACCAGTGGGGACTGACAGTTAAGATATGGCAACCCTGTTGGCATGTTATCATTAACAGGGTCAATGATACATATATATTTATATAGATTGCTCAAAGCTGGTCGTTTGCGAGCAGCCATATTGCCTGGCAAATATTTATTAATTTGAATCGGTTTAGCAAAAATGTGTTTTAAAATCAATTTTCAGCCTTTGCATATATAAAAAAAATAATTGCTTACATTTTTACTTCAAGGCATAAGCTTATGTTTATTTTGAAAAATATGGATGATCAATCTATGTAACTATCTATTTCATTGATCTTATCAGGCCTACAGGGTTGCCATAATTTTGTCATATCATAACCTGTCAAAACCCACTGGTAGCCATTCAGTTTGGAATGCCTAATTAGAAAAACTAAAATAAAATCCGGTGTTTATAATGCGATTTGATAAGATACCTATTTAGTATTTATGACTTTTATGACATTTTTACAATACTAGGAAGGACTACGATAAGATACTACAACATGAATCAATTTGGTATGTAGATAGTTCGAAGATACAAAATAGCACAGGAACTGAGATTTACCATGCGAACTTAAAGATCATTAGTCTAAACCTGGGGTCACTATCAGCACTCTTCTAGGCTGAAGTAACAACAATAAATAAATATGACCAGATCATGCTAAACATCTTTCTTAGAGATCAGGGAGTCATTATTATAACAGACAGCCCTCTTTGCATCCTTTAAAGCATCCCTCTGTCCCCCCTGAGGAATTCCCACACGCTCTCTCCAATCTGGTTTGGGTTCCAGGGTTACTTCCGCCTGTCCGACTTGGGTTCTAAAATACTTTTCCTCTTTCGGATTCCCTACTACTTTACCATTCTAATAGGTCCCAAATTCGATCACTTATCCAGACCGTCCACATGGATGGACTGTCATTGATGTTTTACCTTTCACAGTCAGTTAGCAACTTGGCTAGACAGCTCATAACTCAGTGAAAAGGGCAGAAGTGAAACCCAAAGTAATATTGAAATGCAAAATTAGACCAGGAAGGAAGCCAAGAAGAGTCTAACTGTACCAGAACCCACATGTGAAATTTGATCACTATGTTAAGTTAACGAAACAGGTACAAATTGAACAATTTAAGCTCTGATTTGAACTTCCTGAACTAAGGCAGTCCAGAATATTCATAGAAACTGATTGCAGAAAAATTATCTACTATTTCTTAGCAGTAAAGACTTTACGAGACACTGCAGCCTTAGAAGACATCTAAATGTTTTAGATAGATAGATATCTATGTAGACGAGGACAAAACTCTTATTCATTGCCGAAAGCTTAAATTACATCTGTACAATATCTGGAGAAATGGGGAAAGCGTCTATTATTGGTTAAGTCAAGAATATTAACCTGGTGGAGTAAACACTAAGAGGGGTTCAATAAACCCAAAGCTTGAGTACAAGTGGGTTTTGAATCACACCTCAATTTGGATGGATGGATAGATAGATAGATAGACAGATAATGAGTAAAAAGTGTTTTGTCACAGTTAGTGCATAATTTAAATTTTAAATAAAATACTTACTTTTGTAACTTGTCGCCCCCATATTTGTGAGAGGTCACTTTTGGAAGCGTTATAGATGTCTTTAAGTTGCACGTCGTTTTTGTATCCAAAATGAAAAAATGGTAGAAACCACCTAGAAAAAATGAAAAAAATAACTGAAAGAGTCGAATTCAAAACAATTAAGAAATCATTTAGCGCTAAAATTGCGGCGCCTTTTTTTTTAAATTTAGCTAAATGCTTCAATTTCGGTGCAATAAAATTTAATGGTTCAAGAGTTTGAAAGGAGGTTGTGATACTCTGTAAGGTGAAATTAGAGAAATAATATATTTTTGTAAATAATAAGAGGGAAAGCCCACTCACGCGACATGTCGCGCGCGACTGATCGCGCGCGGCAATATTTTTGATGTTTCTAAATGACCACGCGACCACGCGACAGAACCGCGTTAATGGGCTTTGAGTCATTTAAAAACATCAAAAGTATTGCCGTGCGCGATCAGTCGCGCGCTACATGTCGCGTGAGTGGGCTTTCCCTCTAAGATGCGCTTTACTTGAGACGTAAGATAGAGTGCGTTAATATCTTTAAATTTTCTAATGGAAAGTAAAGTTATGTGATACCTCATTTGAAAGATATTTTCATTATATTTACGTCCAAGCAAACAGTTTTAACCTTTTTGTTTTTACAAAAATTACATTCTTGAATCCTCATGTCCCACAATAATCGTAGAAATGTTAGAAGACAATTTTTTAATGAACCTTTTTTATTGTGAATATCTCTTCTCGCGGCATCACTATGCGTATGATTATTTTATAGATTTCAGGTAGAAAATTATAAATCTTTAGGGTCATATGTAGATGAGAGTGCTGATCTCTGTTTTTTTTTTTTTTAATAATTGTATTTGGATACGCCCTTTTTCTTTACTATTTGGTAAGTGCTTGTATTCAATGCCTTTTAGTTGTTTATTTTTATAGAGGAAAACCACGGAATTGTAAGTACAGGTTTAGAACTCTTGCTTCTTGAAATAGGAGGTGCGCCGAAAATGTATTCTTTTTGCCATACATAATTTTCAATATTTTCTTTTGAAGGATATTGACAGGACTGATGTACGTGTTCACAGCAGCACCCCAACCTAGAATACCATACTGTATTCTAGACTCAACCCGTACATGATATACCATCTTTAGGTAACTTATGTTTAGAATATTTTTCAGATATCTAAATTTGTACAATAAGTTTCGCAATATTCTAGAAACATTGTATATATTTTTAACATTGACATTGGAATTATTTGTTTTTATAATATATATACACATTGCTGTTAAGCAGTTAATCTTTACAATTGTTAAGAAAAGCTGATTGAATAAGTCACCTTAAAATCTTAAAAACCGTTTATATGAAAAATACAGTATATTTACAAAAAGCTCAAGAGGCCTTGGTAGAAGGTACCTATCACAGGATTAGGGAACTAGCGTTGTTACCTAATACGCTTTCGGGAAAGGAAGAATGAAAGACAAAAGGGACAACTGCTCCCTAAAAATGACTTTCCAAATTATTGTACCGAGGAAACATAAATATGAAGTGTCGTTAAACAAGTTTTTTCAAAAATGAAAAAGTATAAATAAACCCCTTAATTATGCATAAAAACGTTTAATTAATGTCACATCTACATCATATTGTTATATTGTAACTTTTGTTTATCTTCTTTATATGGGACGGACACTTACCCGCACTTACCCGCCGCCTATGCCTAGCGTAGAAACGTTCCAGTAATATTATAGCGCTACCTTGTTTCGTTTTTCCAACGTTACTGGAAGTTCCCAAAAATTAGGTCTATAACAAACCAGATTATAACCTCCCCTATTATATCCTTTTTACTTCTTGTAGATGTTATTGTAAAGCCCATAAAATAAAGTAATATCAATGAACTAAATGTGACGTTGCAAACACGATAGAGTTCCTACATTTTTATTTTTATGTATCTATTGTCCTGCCAGCCTATAAAATTTTATATGGACTATGTTATGTAAATATTTTATTTATTTCGTCTATATAACACAGCTTACCTAAACCAGGGGCTGATAACTCAAATGGAAAAACATGAGGAAGGTAATTTAGTACCACTTATGAAGACTGGAGATAAGGAGGCGAATCGGCCTTGGTCAAATTTCAAATTTCCGTCCCTATTTTTATGGAGTTCCAAAAAACTACTGTAGTTGGCGGGTGGCAAAATAACGACGTCTATTTTCTATGCAAGTCAATGGAAATTAAAGTGATTTTTGTAAAATTTAGTGAAAAGAATAAAAAGCTGAAATAAAGAACCTGACTACAAGTAACAATGAGTAACAAAAAACGGCAAAGCAGGATTTGCTTCGTTCCGGGTTGAAAAACGGGATATAAATCTGATTTAAAATTAAAAAAACACAAGGAGATAAAAATTCAAGTCTTTTTAAATCTCCTAGTGTAAGTAAAATAATGTATTTATTTCTAAATAATATATATTTATTGTAAAATAGTCACAACCCGCATCTTACGGAGTGTAGTTTATTTAATTAGAAAATTCTAATAAAAAATAATAAAGTCATAAATCCTGACTTACAAACAACAATAATTACACATTAAATTTAACTTACTAGAAAAGAAAATTTGCTTTTTTATGTTTTTTGATGTTAGATGAAGAGTTACTACTGTTATTTTTCTTTAGTGAACTCCAATTTAGTCATTGCAAATATTTTTTATAGGATCCTAAACGTTTAGAACAATGGCAGCATGTGATTCCTAGGGCTGATAAAGTACTGTCTAGTTATGATTCTGTTTGCGAGCTACACTTTTTAGAAGATATTTTAAAATTTGATGAGAATATTTTAACTAATGGTACTGTTAACAAAATAAAAAGGGAAAGGCAGAGATTAAAGATCGAAGCAATACCATGTATATTCCCGAATCTCCCTTCATACTTGTCCAGTATTAGGAAAAGACGAAAACCACCATTGAACCGAACTGAATTTGTTGCTGAAGAAACTATTCACCAGGATGATGAAATTGTAGTTGTCTAATACAAAATTACCACAAAACTGTACTTACCAAATTTTACCATTTAACAAACCTTTTCAAATTTGGTCATATCTAATTTTCATTTTATTTAGATAAAATTAAATAATTAATAGTAAATAATGTTTAATATAAAGACTTATTTATAATTAATACCAACAGTATTTTCTGTACTTTAGTTAGCAATTAAAACAAAGACTTATTTACAATAATTAAAATCAACAGCATTTTCTGTGCTTTAGTTAGCAATAAATAATTTGATTTTTATTATTTTCATAAAATTTTCTAAAATCCCTAACTAAATATTTTAATTTAAACCGTGTCTTAGTATGCCCTTAGCCCTATTTAGCTTCAATTAAAAAATAATTAGCCCTACCCATCAAATTTCAACACTTATCATCAATAATTTGCATTTTACTTAAAGAGGAGTAAATAATAAATAATGTATCGATTAAGATATGTAAGACTTATTTAGAAAAAAAAATACAATAGTATGTTTTGTGCTTTATTTAGCTATAATCAAGTTTATTTTTATTATTTTGACAAAATTATGTATAACTCCCATAAGAAGCCATGTAATTTGAACACCGTATGCAGTACTAGCGCCCATGCGGTTAATTATAGAAGCTCAATTGACGTGTGATTTTTGGGACCGTATTTTGAGCATGCCGATTCGCCTCCTTATCTCTAGTCTTCATAGTACCACTCCAATTAAATGTCAGTTGTCAGCTCGTGCAAAACTTCAAACTAAAAGATTTACAACATCTCAGATGCATCCCATGTGGATATTAAAACGCAGCATAAGTTACTGAACTCAGCTATATTATCTCTCTCCTCACAAAAATCATCTATTAAAGACTCATCATCTGCAAGTAACATATCCAAAATTTTATCATCGGTTAGACCTCATAGTAAATCGAGATATGTATTTATCTCCCATATTAATTTTGCAAAACTACAGTCTAACGGACCACAAGATTAATATTCTGGCGACGTAATCCCTGAGGATGACGCTCCAGGCTATTTAACCTCGTATAAACCAGACTCTGGGAGCGAAGCCGAATCAGCCCATTCTACCACTCGGGATAGTCACTTTACATCGACTTACAATTCAACTGGTCGGGATTTCACTAGAAGTTTAACTACTTATTGGGACAAGTATCAGGATTAAATAAATCAAATGAATGTTAATCGCGGAGCTAGAAAATTTTTCTAGAGAAATGCAAAAGCGTAGGTGCGAAGGTAGCGAAGGTAGCTAAGCCACAGCCAAGCTTCACTTTCGTTCAATAGCAAATCCGGAACATATTATCTGAGTTGGTTATCAAATTAGCCCATTTAGTCCAGGATCCGTAAGTAAGGTCGACGTTCACCCATCTGTTTAATGGATAAAAGTTTTTTTTATTAGATAAAATATGTTTTTAAATATACCGCAAATGGGTTGCCTAAAAAAATACGGTCACGGCCATTTTTTGCTTTCCTTTCTGTGTACAGATAAGAAAAGTATAGGAATCATGATAAAAGTTGCTTATGATGTCATTCTCTATTATTTCCCTAAAATGGACCTAATTCGAGATATTTAAGGAAAAGTACAAATTTCGAATTTTGAAGACAACTCAAAAACGGATAGAGAGAAAAACACCAAATTTTAAACTTAAGCTTTAATCTATCCTGCGGTGAGCTGATTAAAGTTTGGGTACAGTCGAAGCATCTGGGGAATACTTTACAGGGTGTCGTTTTTTTTATTTTAAGAAAATAAATAAACAAATTTTATTTAATAAAAAGAAACTTTCATCCATTAAACAGATGGGTGAAGGTCAACCTTACTTCGGATCTTAGACTAATTCTACTGCGGGAGTAGTTATTGTCTTCAATAACAAATTTAGTTCGGGAAATTTTAATATCGGAATGTACAAATAAGAAGTTTTTAGGAACCTTAACACTGCTTAACAGGAATGGGAAGGAACGGGAGTCAAATCACTTATTACTCGAAAATTAAAATTAAAACTACTATCATTTAATTTCTTGGCAACCCGGTATAATTATTTTTTAACAAAATATTCGGAGGAGTTAAAATCACTTCTAAACTA